ACTAGGGTCCCAGGTATGACTAAGGTCAAAATTCAGATAAAAATACGTTGGTATGGACAATTGGGTCATCTTGAATTGATTGTATAAAAGGCATTGTTCACAAGTCATGAGACAAGTCTTGCCAGCAAAATCCAGGTCAAGATATGCAAGGTCAAGGTCACCAGAGATTAAATGCTATGTAGTGTTGTGCATATGAATGGAAGAAGGTAACAGGAAAATGTCTTTCTTTGTGCATTGAGGGGTTTAAATACATTAAAGCACAAATATACACCATTATGAGGTGGAATGTCACTTGCAAAACCTTGACCCTTTAGTCAAGGTCACACATACAGGTCAAGTCACATTAAATGTTCACGATCTTGAGACTTGGTACTTGAGTGCATTTTTTTGACAATGGCACTCTATTTAAGTTTATTTTTAGCTCTTTTGACCTACTTTTATATCAGATTGGGACCATTTACGTAACTAATATAAAGGGCCACCTAAGTATCATTCCTGTAAATTCCTGTGAAGTTTGGTCAAATTCACTGCATTGTTTAAGACATTATTTTAGAAATTGTGGACAACAATGGACACACAATCAAATTGCCATCACAAAAGCTTACCTGTGGGCACTAATGCTAAAGAGCACTCAGTGGGCTAAAAAAAGATCACTCAGGTGAGCTAAAAACAGCTGACTGTGGTGATAATACAACATATTGAAACCCTTGTTGCCATCCCCTATCTATAATTAAGATACAAAAATTAATGAACTATTGACAACTTTGATAACATAAATAAAAGAAACAAACTACACAATTCAATAAAATTTAATTTGTTTTAAATAACATCACAGTTCTGAGTAAACAAAAATTAATCAATAAATTTATGAAATTTACAAAGAAACCATCGCGAATTGGCAAAAATTTACTAGTTCAAACTAAGAAATATCGTTAAAAAAAACTTCAAGCATTTATTTAACTAGCGCTTTATGGTCAAGACTTACCAAGTCATTCAACATTTCATAAAAAACATTGCTATTCTTTAATAACAATCTTATTAATTTTCCAGTCCGTAATGGATTCAAGAAAGCACAAAATGTTCAAATAATGATCTGCAACATTTTCTTTGGCGTAGGCTGCGACAAACTTTCATAAAACAGTCCTTACCCTTCTGTGACAAAACATAGCGAAAGAAGTGTCGTAGAACGTTGATAAAAACCCTCAGAGTTTACTTTTTGTATTAGTAGTTTCTCTATAAAATTAGTTCAGAACACAATTCAGTATACATAATTTCAAGCCTTCAAAATTATTTATAAAATTATCTTGAATCAGTTACACTGAATACAAACAAATGTACATGTATGATTAACATGGAATGAACACTGGGTATATGTTAAAAAATTTGACACAAAATGTGTACAGCACTGTATTGGTACATAACATTCAACAACAAGAAACCATGTTGTCAAGTCAGAAATCTGGTCCCCCAATAACAATGCTGAAGATTCTACATCAGCTTTGATCATGATTGTCTTATTTTCTTATCCAATACAATACAATACAATATCTTTATTGCTTCATAGGCCACCAGCCCAAAACAAAACATAGTTTACAAGTTTTTGTTTACATATGTACAAAAACAGTGTTAAAGTATTATGGTAATAGTCAAATACAGTAATACATGTATATCATCAAAATTCACTGCTATTTTAATAGAAAAAATCTTTCTATAAAGTTTGTCTGAAATAGAAATTGTAATTGAGAATTAAATTTTATACATTTTCAACAGTTTTAACCTTATCGAAACAAAATGTAAGGCAAAACATGCTAAAACGTAGTTTATCGCAAACTCAAATGTATACATTGAAAAAATTTTGAATCAACAATAATAGACTTAATGTAGAATTTAATCATATTTGGCATTAATGATTTGCACACGTTTGCTAACAATGTATAAATAAAGCATAAATGTTCCTTCAAATGAAGAAACCGACACTTTATTTGTATCTATTTTAGTATGTGTTATGTGAGTTTAACTTCATTACATTTAAAAGTAAAATGTCAATAAATATTGTGGTAGATTCAATTTAACCAATGTAGTTCAGATTAGTTTGTGGACGGCTATATTGCAGAACAAGAAATCTTGAATTTCATGCTAAAAACAAACGCGGATCTAGAGATATATTCATGGAATACGAAGTATAGTTAAATTGTTATTGATGGAGAAAAAGCCAATATTTTCGAATGTATTTATCACTAGAGAGTATTGAAATTGCAAAACCAGAAACAAAGTGATATTCTGTATCAATAGCATTGGTCTATCTTGACATGCTAGAATGCCACGCTCGCTCAGTTGTGCGTTATGTGATCTGTAATATACTATATCGTTATCTGATGGGTACATCGGTAGAGAGAGCTTGTAAATCCACACCTTAAACTTTTGGCAAGGCACTTCTAAATTTACTTGATTAAACAATTTCAAATATTTTCGGTGTCCAAAGTGATAGCTGGGTATATTAGAGACTGTGATATAGAGATAGAACAGCTAGGTCGTGTATATTTGACGACCATTCTTGGAGAAATTGGTCTTTTAATCTTTGTGTGAAACGTATGTATAAAAAAAATTTCATTTGAAACACACTGATTTTGCCATATGTATCCAAAGCCGTTTCTTAAAAGTAGGTTTTTTAATTTCGGTGGCCCAGTTGTTGTTTTTGACCTCTTTTTCATCCAAAATTCATAAGCATAAGATAACACTTTTTTAACTAGCCGATTTTCTTTCATTTTAACAATCTTTAACCAGTACTTTATACATTTTTAGCTGCTGCTATGTACAGAGGGTGCCTTCCACAATCACCTAGGACAGCCATATTGCTTGCTCTCTGTTTCACACACACATATATCTTTTGCAGGCATAATTGTGCACAGTTTCAATTGATTCTTGGCGACGTGTTCCCCATATTTCTGCACCGTACAAAAGTACAGGGGTTACTTTGGTATCAAAATATTGAAATAAACATGTCGTGTTAATTGACCATACTTATATAGTTTGTTTAGTATTGAAATTAAGATTCTTTTGGCTTTTAAAGATTGTTCTTTTGCCATATTACACATTGAGTTTCGTTGCGTAAAATTTAAACCGACGTATGAAAAGCAATTTACAACTTCGATTGGCTTACTATTGTATGTCCACTTTTCATGTTTAGTTAATTTTCCACCATTTTTGCAAATACTAGTATTTTAGTTTTTTTTGGTATTACATTTTAAATCCTTTTCAGCACAAAATACTTCTAATAAGTTTAAAAGTTTTTGAGACCTAATACAGTGTGTCTGCTGTCAATGCCAGGTCATCTGCAAATAGTAATGATAATATTTGTGTCTGATCTGGGAAAAGTTGTATACCGGTATACCCTGAAGTGTTAATTCTGTCAATAAAGCTCTGTTGATGTAGAGGATGAATAGAGTTTGTGCTGGCCAAGCACCCTTGCTTTAATCCATTCGGCAAATTGAAGTCTGTTGTTTGACCAAGTATTTGTTATGACAGATGCTTTGACATTTTTGTAGATACTTTGTAGTGCATAAAAAAGTTTGCCACGTATACCATTCTTCTAAGGACCGACCATAACTTTTGTCTATTAATAGTGTCAAACGCCTTTTTCAAAATCAACGAAAAGCCACATAAAGTTTTCCTCCCTTTTTTGATAATTGTTTTTGTATAAGAGCATTTAATATGAAAGCGTTGTCAATGGTGCTATATCCTTCTCGAATCCAGCTTGTTCTTCTGCAATTTTATCGTATAACATTTATATAAATATTTAGTCTTCTAGTAAGTATACCTGTATATATCTTTCCAAGTATATCTAACAATGAGATTCCACGAAAATTATTCGGATCGTTTATATCTCCCTTTTTGTGAATCACTACAATGTTTGCTTTATTCCAGTTTGCTGGAAATTCACCGGTTTCGGAAACAGTCTATTATATAAACATCGTTAACAATGGTAGAATTTTATCAATAACTACTAAATGAAAGATTCTGGTATGAGTTTGTCTTCACCACACTGGAAATAGTGTTAGTGAGACTGAGCAATGACAATAATTTAGATTTTTATAAAACTTAAAGGGGACTCCATGAGGTTAAAAGCCTAAAAACATAACATTTGAAATTTTCTTACATAAAATGAGCTTGGACACTTTACAAAGATAGTTAAGAAATATACTTTGAAATAAATTGAAAATCGTAGTTTTATGCTTTTCTTATCCCATTTTGAGTGAAAGAGCGTTTAAACGCTTTTCATTTTGGGTCATTTTTTTACAATTTAAATAATTATTCTGGTGAAAACAAAGTGCGCAAATGATCTGAAATTTTGCCTTAAGATTAGTGGTCTAAACGTCTACAGATCAAATGGTATTTTATCTGGAAAATAATATTTTCAGTCCCATCAATTTCAAAATCCACAGTTGAGTCCCCTTTAACAAGGATTTCAACACCAGACATCTCACATCAAGAGCAAGCATCTTAACCCCTGGAACACAGGCTGCCATATAAAAACCAGGAAAAAAAGTTGAGAAATAAACAAATGATTCTAAATATAGAATTTCCTTAGGGTTCTGAAATTCTTTAAAACTTTTCAGTAATAGTCTTGTCAATATATAACATCAAAAAACAATTTTCAATGACAAGGACTTTCCAGGCTTTGACCTTATGATCCTAATAAACTGAGCTTATCAATTCGATAAGCTTAATTTCAATACTGTGAAAATTATTATATCATTTACATTTCAGTTTTTTCTGTGCACTGTGATGCACATTTCAGTTAATCTGTTTTCATAATGGTAGGGATAATTTCAAGTTGTAATGTTAATGTGTTGAATAGCATGTAAGAGACACTGTATTATTTCACATATACATCTCGGTGTTGGTTGTTTCTTTGTATTAGATTACAACCAGGATTAGGTCTCCGTCGGTGCTCGCGTCAGTCTACATAGGCAGCTTTCATTGAAGTTTGAAGACGACTTCTACTTTTTCAGCATGACTGCGCACCTCATCTTATTGACTGCCTTTTGTTTTTGTAGCTCCTCCCCTTCAGTTTTTTTCTCTTGTTTAAGTGTTACTTTAATTTTAGCCCAGTCCTTCCTGGCTGACTGACTACCTGCGTAAGCCTGACTGCTAGCTAAACTTGATGATCGACCAGGAGTAAATACTGCTGCAAAATTAATAATAAAAATACTTTTCATTTTGTATCAAAAATATATGAAGATAAAAAATTACAAAATCCGATTTCTAATTACATATAAGTTTATATATGCAGATGATAATTTATAACAAGACCTCCTCGATAAATTTACAATATAAAACCTCCAGGATAAAAAGCATGTATCACGATCCATCAAAGCTATATACATTTGAACATGTGTCTACTGGAAATATTGTTTGAACTCTAAAAAAAAAAGTACTTCTAAAAACTTGTATAAAAGATAGAATATGTAAGTAAATTGCCCGATTAAGTGAAAGGCAAATGCACGAAATGGTTTTGACTGTATAAATAAGACATCCATTTTTACCAATTAAAGATCCTGTAACTCAATTTTTTATGGTTTTATATCATATATATAATGCTCAAATGAAGATTTATCAATATTTTAAGTTCCAAAAACATTAATTGTAAAAGATATTACCGAATTCACATTTCATGTTAACAAAGGGAGGTAATTACAAATTTATTTTCTATAAAGTCTAAGTCAAATTTTTCAAGAAAAAATGAAAACATATATCTTAACGATTACAAATAATCTGGACAAATATTACAAATAATCTGGACAAATATTTGCAGTACATACTTAACATATTCTTCAATGTTTGAAAATTGTTTCAGAAGCATAATAATTATATACATAAATAAAATTTCACTTAATTAAGTGTGGTAACAACCTTAATTACAACATACAGGATCTTTGATAATTACATGTTGTGTACTTAACCACTTGGTTGAAGAAGTTTGTTTACCACATACCTCTACTAGATGGTCCAGCCATCAAAGATTCCTCCTCAAATCGATCATATTCCTCCTCTAGGTCATTAATGTTCATATGCTTAGACTGCATCTCTGTATTGTAAACATAATACATGATATCAAATTACGACAATGAATCACAGTCTATGCTTAGACTGCATCTCTGTATTGTAAACATAATACATGATATCAAATTATGACAATGAATCACAGTCTATGCTTTGACTGCATCTCTGTATTGTAAACATAATACATGATATCAAACTATGACAATAAGTTCTGTCAAAATATCAAACATTTGATGGTGTAAAATAAAGATGGAGTGCAATACTTATTAATATTGAGACTTGTAACAGCTGTCAACACTTGCATGAAAAAATAGATGGCAGGATGATGTACATTAATCAATAAAAAAAATTATATGTGACTCAAACGAACTGAAATTTTTTATAATTAAGTTCATAATATAAACACAGTATCATATAGTTTCATAGCATTTCAAGGTAAATGCTTACATGTTTATGCATGTTTATTTTTTTTCAACACTTGACCATGAAAAAAAATCGTAAAAAATGCAAAAAAAAAAAAAAAAAGATATTTGTATGTTTGTTTGTTTTGATTTGGTTTTATGTTGCACCAACACAGCATAGGTCATAATGGGCACTCATCCAGCTTTACTGGTAGAGGAAGTCCTAAGATGTCCTTCCGTTCATTATTTAAGGCACAAACGGGCACCTGAGTAGAACCACAGATGTTCCATAAGCTAGCTAAATAGCTTCCTCACATGAAAGAATCCAAAGTCCCTGTTGGGATTCCAACCCACAGCGGTGAGGGGCAAGTGGTATATATAAGTATGTACAGTTCTGCGCATCCAGCTATAAACCGATTGTAATACAGGTACAGTTTGTTCTAGCTAATAGATAGATGATATACCTGTGGACTTGTTCTAAGGTCTCTATTATCTTGTCATGGTAGATATGGAACATACTTCCTGGAAGCAGGACGACTAGTGAAAACTCCAGTGAGGTTTTATCATATATGAATTGTATAAACATTTCTTTTCAATCATTAATGGTATTGATTCATTTATCAATTTTATTTTCAGATTGGACACAATTTCAACTAAAATTACAGGATCCATGTTTTTGCCCAACTTTTGCTAGTAGCAAGGGAAAAGCTGGGCGACGTTAGAATAGTGAGACACTAGCGATGGGTTCCCAGAAGGAGACTGCAACAAAATGATTTAAAGCAAAATACACTTCTTTTCAGGCAATGTTTTGTAGATTTTTGTATCTGTCTCTGTTTTTGTATCATTTTGGAAGTGACAGTTGAACAATTTTCTGTGAAACTCTTTCTCACTGTTTATATATAAAAAACAAGTAATTTGTAACTATTATCATGAAAGTTGCAACTTAAAACATTGCCAATGAATTATGATTTCATATCAACTATGTGGTTTAAATACATGTATTTAGAGGCATGTGGTGGACACTTTCCATTATTTTGTTTGATTTCGTTTCATTTCCTTGGTTTCCCAAAGTATTGCCTAGTCATGTAGGTAGGTCGGGCTGTTAGAAATTTGTGATATACTATATCGTTTCCTGCGAGGATGTGTACGCGCGTAAGAGTAATAGATCTATTACCTTCACGTGTTTAAGTACCGCTCAATAACTTCAAGAAGCAACCTTGCCGGTGGAATCAGAACTTCATACGGCCAGAGAGTGTAAGTTTATGGATTAGAAGTACGTACGTTCTTTAATCACTCGGACTCGATGAGGGTCACTTAGCCCTATATGTTCATACCTATTAAAAGCGCAGATCGACGAGATGTAATTATTAATGTGTTTGTTCATAGTAAGAGAAACATAACTACCAACTATTAGTGTTAAAGTAAGTCTCACGTGCATTGTGATATATGAGGTAGCATAGCTCGGATGATTATGTACAAAGCTACCTACCATATAGAAATATAATATGGCACTATTAACGAACGTTGCAGTACAAGTATGTTTTATCCACTCGCTACGAATAAAAACAAAGGCTCGTCTTTGATGAGATTGTGACCATTCGTAAGTAGAGGGAAGTGTGGCTATTGAATCAATGCACTAATTGTATATTTGCATTCTTACCTTTTAAAAAGTGGTGAATAAAGCTATTTTTAGTGATTGTCGCCTTCTAGGTGTTGTTGAGTCAATTTGTGATATTTAAATAGTGCAAATTCACACTACGAATCTCTCAGAACATGTATAACGTGAAATGTATATAAAACGTTTGTGAGCAATCGCCCACAGGGTAGATTTTATAAGGACGTTGATCATATGCACATTACCCTCTCAGCCGTAACTAATTACTTACGAAATGTCAAAAGTTGCTGGTACTTTACATCATGTCGTGGGCTTTTTATATGGTATACTGATATTTACTACTATACATTTTTCGAGGAATCTAACTCTTAGAACGTCACCTAAGGATCGGATGCAAGACATCCTAAGAAAACTGTTATCGTGGCACTTACCTTGCAGGATATCTTAACTTCGGTGTCAGTTGCTGATTATGTGGGAGCTACTCGAGGGTGTTTATATACTAACTGACTTTATGCACATTATCTCTTTCAGTCGAATATCTAGATCTAATACATATGAGCCTCTTATAAAGTTATAAATATATACACATATAAAGAAGAGTGTTTATTAATTGTATCTGCCTCGTAATATGTTGCATATAGTCGACTCAGCTTAGAATAATCTTGCACTAGTGATGTATTGATACACTCAAAGGTATGATGTTAATTAATATATTACTGTTACACTTGCACACTTTACCTTTGTCAGACTACTAAGATCTCAAGTGGCTGTTAGTTTATATACCAGGCCAGCATGGGTGTAGAAGGATCATCTTCCTTGTCTTCTATAAAACTAAGGCCACATATTGACAACATTAGTAATCGTTCTCTGTCGTATGCCTCGCCTCTCATAGATATACCTATATGACTCTTTAATTCTTCCATATCAAATATCTGAAAAGAAGATAGTTGTTCGATGTGGGAGTTTTTCTTCATAATAATGGTATTTCTTCCACACAATGAGGGATTTTTCTCGCAAAAACGAAAGAATTTTCTCTACAAATACATGAATCAGGGATTTTTCCTACACAATGAGCGATTTTACCTGCATAATGAGGGATTTTCCTCTGCACAACGAGGGATTTTTCTTGACACAATGAGGGATATTTCTTGACACAATGAGGGATATTTCTTGACACAATGAGGAATATTTCTTGACACAATGAGGGATATTTCTTGACACAATGAGGGATATTTCTTGACACAATGAGGGATATTTCTTAAAACAATGAGGGATATTTCTTGAAACAATGAGGGACAATGGCGTATTTTTCTTGACACAATTGAACACAATGAGGGATTTTTCTTGACACAATAATTTAGCTTGAAACAGTGAGTTTTTCTCGACAAAATGAAATATTTTCCTTTATACAATTAGGAGTTTTTCTCCATATAGAATGGAATTTCCCTCTCCATTAAGGGATTTTTTTTTATTTTACAGATAAAAATATAAAAACCTTTTATGAATTCTATTTCAAAATAAATTCCATATACATCTTAACAACACAAAAGACTAAATATATACATATATGATCCAAATGTCAAAACAGTTATACAAGTTTTATCTGCAGCAACAATGAACTCCAGGAAAAATATGTACAATCAAGAAAATGATATGTGAAAAAATCTAAATGCCGGTTAGGAAGCCCTTTGTCACGAATAAATGAAAGAACTGACCTTGACATTTTGATCAAAAGGAAGTCTGCCTTGGTTGACGATGACGTCTGCTGACAGACAATGGCTTGCTGGATATTGGTAACCTTTCACTATGATGTCGTTCTTCCCGTATCTTGTCGCAGATAAACTACCATCTGCTTCTTTTATAATACGAATACCCTGAAAATATGTATATATTTGTAACAATTTTATGTTAGTCAGTTCCAGAGCTCAAGTTTAATTTCAATCAAGCAAAGCAGTTGTGCAGTACAATAAATTTGTGATAATGAAAAATTGAAAGACACACTGACACTGTAAAGACAGTATAGTCAATTTCCAGCTTTACTTGTTGAACGACCTCTGGTGCCCAGAAATGCATTATTTCAGGTACAAGCAGACACTTGAGTAGAACCACTGCCCTTCCCATAACTCGCTGGATAGCTTCTTCAGATGAAAGAATCTAGAGTCCTTGATGGATAAAAAAAAACGCACAGCAGTGAGAGGCAATAGATTTGACCATAACCATGCTGGCACAAAGACTATAATATATGGCCGATGCAATTTCCAGCATGTATTAAAATCACCAGAACACCAGTCTGATATGCAAGAAATTATAAGCTTATAGAGGTAGATATAACAAACTTTATGCAGAATTTTTTTTCAGTCCACAAAGAGGTAAACTTTAGTCAAAATTTGTAAATTTATGTGAATTGAATAGTTAATTGAATAGTAACCTTAGATAATAGAATAGAAGACTTGTGAACTTTCGAGATTCAGTTGTTAATGAGGTATGAAGTTGCATCAAAAAAAACTAAACCGAGTAATTATGCCAACACCTGGGTGAGTAGAATAGCTCCACTTCTATTTTTTTGAGTAGTAGAACTATGCATATCTAAATTTAAAGTATCTGGGAAATAATTAGGAAAAAACTTTTTATTACCTTTCCAATATAAGTCCTGATTTTATCAGTAACTTCATCACGTTGTGGATTCTTAAATGCACCAAGACCTATCCTAAAATACAACATGACATTTGTTAGCTTATTCTGTAATTCTTATAAATAGAGATATGCATGCATCATAAGTTATAAAGATTTTTGACAGGTTATATGGCCCATTATAAATAGTTTATATGTACTGAGCCACAAGATGATGATAATATTGCAAACAACCATTTTACGTCCATATAACTTGTTGACATCATTCTAATGACTTTAAAATACTGCACAATTCCTTTATATGAGGAAAAATGGGATAATACCAACATACAGTTTTGCATATAAAATAAGGTTATATAAATGATATGATAACCAAGTGAAAACTAATTTTTGTAAAGAATGAAAATATGAGGTCAATGTGTGAATTTTTATTAACAATGACACATTCACAACAGATTTATTACCACAGGCTGTGGATTTAAATGCTGGTTTTGCCCCATTCCTCCTTCAAACTTAAATCCACCCACACCAGTGCAAAAAGATACCAAAAAAAAAAATTTGCAAAATATTTCCATAAAATACCTTTTGCCATCAAATTCTTCATACGATCCATCTATATAAACTTCTTTATCACAGATATAAAACTTGGCAACAGGACGGTCATACTCCATGTAAAACATCTTACACCACACATCAGGGTCAAGGTCATGATATCTATCCAATACTTGTTGTAAAATATGCTGGAATAAAAACCCAACATAATTAAAATAACACTCGAAAACAATATCATAAATAGCGTACTGCACCAAATGTTATTTCTGACATTTTGAAGGGTTAAACACCACTTTTTCAAGCAGCAAACTGTTTTTTCTTTCACATTCGCAATTTTTTTAAGTACTGTATTAAAACAGAAGTGTAATAGCAGTGGTCAAAGCAATAAATTTGTGTGCTAAAGTTAAAAAACCAAGATAAAAAAAACAGTTACAAAACATACATATTTATGGAAGTTCACCCAATAACAATATATCATAATTTTCTCTAAACATTTTTCTTGTGAAAATTTATACACACAAAAATACAGCATAGCCTCATTACCGCTGTAAAAAGTTATCATAACTTAAAATACAATACCTTATAAAAGCCTACTGTTCCACCTTGAATTATAGGACTGGGTGAAAACACATCTGGAAGTCTAGAATCTCCCTGGTTACCATAGTAACCATTCATAGGCGATTGTAACTGAATTTTATGCAGTAAAAAAAAAAAAAACATTTAAAATGTCAAAAGTAAGCTTTACTAGACACTGTAAAAATATATATAACACCAGTATGCATTACTGACTCTGTAAATACATCTTACAGAAGTATGTTTTGCAAGACTATAAATAAATCTGACTGAAGTATGCCTTATTCTTACTGGTACATGTCTCATACAGTGAAAGTTAAGAAAACCGGACGCTGAAAAAATGGGAACTCTCTAAATACCGGAGGATTAATTCATTCCCAAATTTTCCCCTTATTAAACTATGTATATAATTCAGCAAATTTTAATATTCTTACCACTTCCCTGCCAAGCCTGTCTCTGGTTGCCCTAGAAACGTCATGATGATCTTGTGTCATCATTGTCTGAAAGAACTGGTCTCCATGGTGATCTATGTAGTTTGACAATACTTGGACCTCATCGGCGTCTTGTTTTGACATACGTAAATGGTACAAGAACCTTCTCCGATCAAGACATGCACGTATATTTGCTTGTGCTCGTACAACGCGCCCTATGATATCATCCATTATAGCATTTAGATGATCGCTCTGCCAGTACTTTAAGAACACCTTAATTATAAAAACATACATATCTGACATTATCTGTATTAACAGTCATGAAATATAAATATCTATAATAACAGTCAATTCTAATTTCTATATTTATATATCTTCACCCTTTGCCTATAATCAAAGTTAACACTTGCTAACTCTGGTGTCCTCAATGGCACACAGTGCTTCTTTGCTTTGAAATCACTTGGCCCTCAACACAATGTGTACATATCCCCAACATGTACTTTGAATAATCTAATGAAGGGAAGCTGTCCAGGTTACTTATGAAAGGTCAGCAATTCTACTCGGCTAGAGGTCTTCCTTCAATAGCCAAGCTAAGGTTAGTGATTCTACTCCCATGGAGGAATCATCCAACAGCAAATTCGTTAAGATGCCAAAATGACCTAGAGAGTGTCTGAGTGACATATAACCATTTATGTGCCATATAATAACATGTTTTACACAGTACCCAACAATGACTCTCAGAAATTTCAGGATTGACCCAATTCTTGAGTGACATTGTCAAAATTAAAAAGCACAAGTGACGTCTAAAGACTTTAAGTTTGAATGGTAAGTTATTATAAGAAGAAATACTCATATACAATTTATTTCAAGAATTTCTATTTAGCAGTAAAAAATTTTTTTAGAAACAGTCCAGCATTATATCCATTATGCTTTTATAAAAAAATACAAAATATTACTTACTTTGGATAAACCGATCTGAACATCGGATAATTTGGCACACTTGATTATAACATTACAATATCTAGAACTTGGTTCTAGAGACGCTGTCATAGGATATGCTATATACTGGTATCTGAAATCATAGCCAATTTATTAAATCATTAATGCTTTACATTGGTATCTGAAATTATAGCCAATTTAATAAATCATTAATGCTATAGTTTGTTATCTGAAATCATAGCTAATAGTTCATACATGAATGCTATATTTTGGTATCTGAATTATAGCCAGTTCATTATTATGCTTTAGTTTGGTATCTTAAATCATAGCTAATAGTTTATATATGAATGCTATATTTTGGTATCTGAATCATAGCCATTTCATTATTATGCTATAGTTTGTTATCTGAAATCATAGCTAATAGTTTATACATGAATGCTATATTTTGGTATCTGAATCATAGCCAGTTCATTATTATGCTATTGTTTGGTATCTTAAATCATAGCTTATAGATAATATGCTATATTTTGGTATTTGAAATCATAGCATATTTATTATAATGCTATAGTTTGGTATCTGAAATCATAGCCAATTCATTATAATGCTATAATTCAATATCTAAAATCAAAGCGTAATTCATTATATGCGATATAGTTCAATATCTGAAATCATAGCCAATTCATTATATTGTTTAAATTCAATATCTGAAATCATAGCTAATTCATTATACTGCTATAGTTCAATATCTGAAATCATAGCTAATTCATTATAATGCTACAATTCAATATCTAAAATCATATTAGCCAATTCATTATAATGCTGTATTTCCATGTCTGAAATCATAGCTAATTCATAATAATGCTACATTTCAATATCTGAAATCATAGCTTATTCATTATAAATCTATATTTCAATGTCTGAAATCATAGCTAATTCATTATTATGCTATATTTTAATATCTGAAATCATAGCTTATTCATTATAATGCTATATTTCAATGTCTGAAATCATAGCTAATTCATTATAATGCTATATTTCAATATCTGAAATCATAGCTTATTCATTATAAATCTATATTTCAATGTCTGAAATCATAGCTTATTCATTATTATGCTATATTTTAATATCTGAAATCATAGCTTATTCATTATAAATCTATATTTCAATGTCTGAAATCATAGCTAATTCATTATTATGCTATATTTTAATATCTGAAATCATAGCTTATTCATTATAATGCTAAAAATCAATATCTGAAATCATAGCCAATTCATTATAATGTTATATTTCAATATCTGAAATCATAGCTTATTCATTATAATGCTCGAAATCATAGCTAATTCATTATAATGCTCGAAATCATAGCTAATTCATTATAATGCTATATTAATCATAGCAAATTCATTATATGCTATATTTTGGTACTTGAAAAGCATAGTCATTGTAATTGCTATATTGCTAATGGACAACAGCTATAATTTGGTATCTGAAATAATGAAACTCTTTACAGGCTTGTGTTTAATTAAAATATTTTGATTTTGAAAAACCTTAATTTATAAATGGACCAATCCAAATTCAAAGCAGGACAATACCATAATACATTTTCAATGGGTGTAAGGGAAAATTATGTAAGAATGATCTTAAAGCACAAACCTCTTCATGAACACATCAAATGGCAATCTAACGGCATAGCCCGATTTCCGGATTTTCGTGGTTTCAAGTACACCTGTACTCTTCAACTGCTCGGACACCAGTCTTGTATCAAAACTGTTTGGTAATTTCTGATGATTTGGTTTTATACATCTGAAAGATAAAAATTTGATCTTAACTTCTTAAGGAAATGTGTCATTTAAAGCAGCATGCCTCCAGATTCATGATAAATTTATGAAAATTTTGAAAACATATTTTAAAAGAAAAATATTGAGAATTGAACTAAGGAAGGAACTTAAAGGAAGTAATTTACTCATTGAAATCGGTGCTAATACAATCCAGGTAAATTACTAAAAAGAGAAAATAGCCCTTACAGAGACTGTTTTAGAAATATGCATGATGAACACAGCAAAATCAGTCATTAATCACACATAATATGTTAATTATAACTTGAATTTACTTTTCTTAAAATCTTAGTACATTTTTCCAAAGTTTGATTTTCTTGATATATTTTGGCTCATCTGGAGGTGTGCAGCTTTGATATTAAAACATGTTGACGCAGAAGGTTATGTCATTCTTTAAAGACCTTATCCCAAAACTAAATACCGCTGTTACACTCATTTGACATGGTAAGTATTAACTATCATAAATTATAAATTTGAGTTAGTTTATGAATTTCAAAAAGCTTCTTTACCATTCAAGTTAAAACTGCTAAATATCTTAAACCATTACAAATTTTAGGGAAATTTTCAAAATATGTACTGACTGAATAGTGAACAGTGCAGACAACGATCAGACGGCATGGATGTCCCGGTCTGCACTGGTGGCATGAGTAGATTGACAGTTAGTGCCTACAGACTAACAGTTAAATAACAATAATTATACTTTATTGTCAAGTGAGAACCCAACCCTTGATCAAGGTAGACATGGGTTAATCTGGAAACTAGTTTATCAACACATATCTTCAATGGCCAATCAGATGCTAGAATTTATGTCCGATCTCCAAACCACCCTATCTTCTCACATACGAACCATGTTCATGTATTTGTTGTTTTTTCATTCATATTTTTTTCAGTTATGTTTACCGGTTTTAAACAACATTTACAACACCAAAATTACAACCAGCAAAGTATTTTAAGGCTGAATTCAAGGCCTCTTAACTGTCCTTTCTGGTACTTTTTTTTAAAACTTATTTTTCATGATAAAATATGTCAGATGTTTCTTAAATTATACACATTCAGACAAAACATATACAACAGGACAGTGAAAATTCAAAGTGATATATATTTTACCAGTTTCTGTGCCTTTAAAAATAAAAAACAAGTGTGAATGAGCCAAAATAAAATCTTACAATTTTTCAAATCAGTTACATAAAATAAAGAAAGTGACAAAGTTGGTAGTCACAATTCAACTGTTTCATATATAAACCCATAACCTGCCGAGTTTGTGTCATGGATTTTCACTGCTTTTGAAAATGAAATAGTATATTCTAATTTTAAAGAATTTCAATAAAAAAACACAAAAATTGAGCTACCAACAGTATAGAGCCCGGCCAGACCTGCATGGATGTGCTAGCTCGAGCCTGACTCTACACTGGTGACAATAAGTCAAATTGCAGAAGTCACAGACTGATGTCAAATTTTTTGTACTTTCATACCTATATCATTATGTGTAAAATTTACCTTAAAGCATAATTATAGACCTAGTATCATAAAAAGATAAACAATTTGGTTTATAAGTATTGCATATCCATTCATATTATATGCATCTTAAATGTGTATATTTCTAGAACTTTTACCATAAGCTGGAATGATATGTGGTTTCATTCATTACCAGTCATACCAGTACAACAGATTCAAAAGGAGCCTTGTCTTTTGTTTTGTTTGGTTTTATTATGCACTGTCAGAATTTAGGTCATAGACAAGAAAGATGATTTTGAGAAACCTTGGGTGTTACAAACTTAAAGAAACACACATGACAGGTCAAAACCACCTCACTTGCTGGAGCTAAGAGATGCACGGACTCTATTATTTTGAACCAATTTAGCCACCTCTTTTGATCATGCATGGATAAGTTACCATGGCTGTAATTCTGATGCTGCAACTCTTAAATGCAACCCGTCAACCACAAGGGGAAGGAGCCTTATCTGTGAGTATATATATTATTTACACTGAAAAATTTCAAGACTGCTTCCTGGACCAGACCAGTGTCAAGTGCCATATGACAGAATGAGGTCATGACCCTGAGTAGTGCTTGAACCATCAATCCATCGGCTGAGAGGCAGACCCCTTAACCTCTAGGCCACTAATCATCTTATGGGCATTTTTTTTCTGTTTCCCATTGAACATACATAATGAGACTACCTATCTAATCAGCTAGGAAACTAATATATAGGGTATATAGAATCCCCAGTCTTACAGCATGCATGTTTATTAACCAAATTGCAGCATAAATTGCACCACAATAACAGCTTTATGTGGGATTTATTAATATGGGAATCTAACATTTTATCTAATGCTGGGTTTTCCATGCAGGTTCAGGCAAAATAATTTTTCATTCAAGCACAAATCAGGAATATCGGTAATGCCAAGGCATACTCCCAAAATATTGCTCTGACAAACCTAAAAATATTGTCTTTATTGTGATAGTAGAAAAACCTTTTTTTTTCAACCTCACTGACAGTGATCCAGCCAACTGAACACTATACTTGCATTAAAGTATAAACAACTTAATTAATAGATATTTCTGCCCTTTGTTATCTGTATTTTGTATTAAGACACTTTGGTTTCCATGTCCTAGTGTGACATCATTTGAAAGTTATGTTTTGATTTTACCAGATGCTTTTACTTTGCAGTCTGAGTTACGCAAATTAAACAATCGAAAGGAGAAAAGAAATCACCAGAATCTATCCGTCAGTGCATCTTTTCTTCTCCAATTATGTATATTTCAGAGCATTTAATTATGTAGTTTTTATGCAAGAATATCAGTTAATGAATTAAACTTAATGTGTTTTCAAAAATGTAAAGTAATTGTGACAAAGAATGGAAAGAAGGCCAAAATAGCATCTATTTGCTCCACAAAATAAATTAATAAATTTCAGAGCATAAAAATGCAAATTCCATATGGCAATTAACTTGAACAAGAACTAAAATTTTATAAAATTAAATGTTGACTATCTACAGAAGCTTCAATTTGATACTTCTGTTACGTTACTGATTATAAAATGACATTTACATCTGATGTGAAACCTTATTTTGTAAATTATACATTATTTCTTTTCAATGGTCAGTAACACTTTCTAACTTCCCTTTGCCAATATCATGCAACACTTGTGTACCATTTGCAATAAATTTAAGTAAAATAGATAAATATATTTCCTAGTAAAGTGTGCACCTCCCCTTACCTTACAAATTAAAACAATTTAACATAAAAATTTCACTAAACTATTGAGCAGTTTAATTTTAAACCAAACTGCTTTACTTGGTCAATTTAGTCATTAAATCATTAAACGTCATTAAAGGAACTCCACTGAGGTAAAAAAATCCTAAAAACTTACAATAAAAATTTGAAATTCTTGCATAAATCAAGTGAAGCACATGAAATGGAAAAATCTGCTAAATGAAACAAACTCCAATTTAATTGGATAAGAACTTTTTGTGTTTTTCTTAGCCCAATTTGAGTGAAAAACATTGCAAAACTTTCCAATTTACATGTATGTCAATTCTTACAATTATAATAACTGTTATGGAAATAACAGAGTGAGTGAATGATCTGGAATTTTGTGCACACATTTCTGGTCTAGACCTATGCCAAATGGAACATTAATCTTGAAAAAATATTGCCAGTCCGGTTATGTCAAAAAACCACAGTTGAGTCCCTTTAAAACTCTACCAGCCATATTTTATTTATTTATAAACCATGCTTCATATTACAATACATATTATTATAGAGATTAGGGATTTCTATCCTTACAGATAAGTTTATAAACAACAAGTCACAAACTCTTTCCAATGTTTCTATAAATCTTGGAAACAAGTGTATAAATATTATAGGGATCTTACACCGGATTCCGGTACAGACCGGAATATCTAGCTCGAGGGTAACTGTTTACAGTGGTAACGAGGCTCTGCCGGGTTTCTGCAAACTAGATATTCCTGTCTGTTACAGCAGCCGGTGTTTGTTTGTTTTTTTTGCATATTACATAGAAATCATATTTCAGAAAGAACTTACAAAAACAAATATTTTCATTTAGCACTTATTTCTTATAATAGCATATGAATGTACAACTTCATTCAGAATGTCAAAATGATGTTAATTTATTTTAAGAACGTAATTTAATTCAGGAATGACATCATTGAAAGCACGCAACTTGTGTTCAGGTATAAACAGTAGATAATCCTAAGCATATCAACACAATAATATTCTTGCGTATCAGACTGGTGTTTCCATTAGTTTTACCCATGCTGGAAATTTCATCTGGCATGGGGGGTCCCAGATAAGTTGTGTGCTGTGTGATGGCATGCTTTCGATGGCTTAATTTACCGTTATGAATTCAGTTGTAATTTCATACGCTGTTGTAAGAAAATAGTTATGGGTGTAATGACATAAATTTCCATGGAAAATTGTTTTATTAAGGTTAAGAGTTTAAAATATATGGAATATGGTAGAATAGGCAAGAAAAAATATCTGACAAAATTGGAATATCTGTCTTTCGGGAATCCACCCATGGGTGGTAACTCAGCAAGCCTCGTTACTGCCCAATGGGCGGGTCCCCATCGGGATCTAAACCGCAACATATGACAGATATTATTTGTGTTATCACTTTATATGCCTTCTGTCATCAGTGGTGTATAAAAGTAGAGCAATTGTTGTGTGTAAAATGCACAATACAACTAACATCGGCACATAACACCTAACATGAAACATGCTCTCACCTGATCACCATACACTATAGCTATATAAACAACAATTTTTATACAAATTTATACAATATCAAAAATACATTTATTCATAGCTAAATGGTTCTGTCTGCTTAGCATATACTACTAGTATTAGTTAAAAGTTACTACTTCGAAAATTCTGAAAAACGTGTATTTATTAGTAATTTTCATTCTGTATAGATTTATGAAGGAAATATCTTTTAGAGTCTTAAAATTCAAAACTCTGGAATAATCTTGAAAGGCTACACTCATGTTAAGTACCAAACCAGGTTAAAAATATTATAGAATAATTTTCTAAAATAAAATCATCAATTTGCTATGATTCAATTATTGACTCGATCAATTTATATATTTATAAAAAGAAACATTCAGATATTTTCATTTTCTTTCAAAATCTGCAATTTATGGAGCACTACATTTAATATGTGTCAAAGGAATTTTTCAATTTCATCTTTTTCAAAAATTCATTTACATAATTATAATTTGACACAAAAAGCAGCAATTTTCTTGAAACGAAGGCCAATTTGCTCGTAAATGTTTTCTTTAATTTCTTTAAACGATGCCCAATTTCCTTGTAAATTTTCTCCTTAAAAACTAACACTCAGTAAAATGGTCAATACATGTACGGCACAACACACTGTTATAACTGTTTTCTAAGAACAAATATATAATTATATTGACTACCCTGAGCAATTTCTTCAAACTTTTAAAACTACATATTTGCAACATTCCTGTATTTTGTCGATTCATTTTATATGAATACGTGATTAGCATGAAAACAAAATTGTTAACTCAGGCACAAACTTGTAAATGTGTACTTATATTTACCTAATAAACTGTGGCTCACACGTCTTCAATCTGTCTACTAACAACTGGAGAGAATTCTAGAACAAAGAAGGAGAAAAAAAATACGATTATCAATATGAACTAGTCCAATGTAAGATTTCGACAATACATTTAATCCCATGGACAACTGACAACATGTTTGATTTCAACATTTGATCTCATGGGCAACTGACAACATGTTTAATTCAATATTTGATCTCATGGACAACTGACAACATGTTTAATTTCATCATTTGATCTCATGGACAACTAACAACATGTTTAATTTCATCATTTGATCTCATGGGCAACTGACAACATGTTTAATTTCATCATTTGATCTCATGGGCAACTGACATCATGTTTGATTTCAACATTTGATCTCATGCTCAACTGACAACATGTTTGATTTCAACATTTGATCTCATGGGCAACTGACATCATGTTTGATTTCAACATTTGATCTCATGGGCAACTGACAACATGTTTGATTTCAACATTTCATCCCATGGACAACTGACAACATGTTTGATTTCAACATTTGATCTCATGGACAACTGAAAACATGTTTAATTTCAACATTTCATCCCATGGCCAACTGACAACATGTTTAATTTCAACATTTCATCCCATGGACAACTGACATGTTTGATTTCAACATTTGATCTCATGGGTAACTGACAAACATGTTTGATTTCAACATTTAATCTCATGGATAACTGACAACATGCTTAATGTCAACATTTGATCTCATGGGCAACTGACAACATGTTTAATGTCAACATTTGATCTCATGGGCAACTGACAACATGTTTAATTTCAACATTTGATCTCATGGGAAACTGACAACATGTTTGATTTCAACATTTGATCTCATGGGCAACTGACATCATGTTTGATTTTATCATTTGATCTCATGGGCAACTGACATCATGTTTGATTTCAACATTTGATCTCATGGGCAACTGACATGTTTGATTTCAACATTTGATCTCATGGGCAACTGACAACAAGTTTGATTTCAACATTTGATCTCATGGGCAACTGACAACATGTTTGATTTCAACATTTGATCTCATGGGTAACTGACAACATGTTTGATTTCAACATTTGATCTCATGGGTAACTGACAACATGTTTGATTTCAACATCTGATCTCATGGGCAACTGATAACATGTTCGATTTCAACATTTGATCTCATGGGTAACTGACAACATGTTTATTTCAACATTTGATCTCATGCTCAACTATAAACATGTGATGCCATGATTAATGCCTTAAAGAAGCTGTATATAAACAGACCTGGAATTGAATTTGATACAGTTTAAAGTCTTCAGTATACAATCACCAACCACCTGTGAGCTGACTAGAGAACTTCCTCACATGTACAAAATCAACATCCACAATATTAATGGGTAAGTAACTCTTACGCCTATCCAAGATTTTTAAAAACAATATTCAATATTTTTTTGTTCAAGTTTTTTAAGTCCAAGCAACACTATTAAGGTTAGATGTATCTATCCAGCTTTACTGACAGAAGAAGATATTTGGTGCCCCTTCTTGCAATAAACAAGCCTTAACTTGACTAGAACCACCAGCTTTATGTCAGCTAACCCGATAACTTGCTCACAAGAAAGAAACCTGACCAAGAGTTTCTTGACAAATTTTGAACCATTGCAAGTAATTTGATGTCACCATATAAGGATATTACACCGACTGCAGGTACAGACTGGAATGTTTACAGCTTTAACGAAGCTCTGTTGAGTTTCGACTTAAAAGTTACCCGAGAGTAGTTTCTAGCACCGGTGCAATTAGTTATTAATCCTGTTTTATAAACATGAAATTTTTATCAGCCAATCATAAAAGCCCCCTTTTAAGAATCATTTAGAATAGGTAAAATAAGTTAATTCATGTATTTAACATCTGACCTTGAAATGAGCACTTGCTGAATTAGGGTTTGGTGTAAATGGAATGTCTTGAAATGACTTTTGTTCTTTCATTCTGAAATAGATTTGAAAATACATAGAATAACAGTAAATTGTTTAAGTGATATGAAAGAGTATTAAACAATAAGTTACAGGTATGTGGGGCTATAAAAAAGAAGGAAGGGGTATTTTTAGAATCTGACTACGCCTATATGAAACTAAAATGTTATCTTTTATAATGTAAGGGTAATATCTCAAATATCCAACAAATAAAATACTGCATATGCTCCAAACAATTTTATGGAATAATAAATCATGTAAGCATAAAGTAACATTTCAATAAGTATACAGTATATTGTTAAGAATTGTGTGAGAAAATTCTACATACTTTTGCCTTATTTTCCTTCCAGCTTGTCTAGAAAGGCTGTCCCCTGGAGCATATTGTCTTTTCTGTGGCTGGTTGAAAGCTGGTCTCTGCCACTTATTTTTCCCAGAACCATTTCTGAAACATATATAAACCATGTCTTAAATATATAAACCATGTCTTAAATATATAAACCATGTCTGAAATATACAAACCATGTATGAAATATATAAAACATGTCTTAAAATATAATCCATGTCTAAAATATATAAACCATGATTAAAATATATTAACCATGTCTGAACTAAATAAACCATGTCTGAAAAAAATAAACCATGTCTGAAATATATAAACCATGTCTGAAATATATAAACCATGTCTTAGATATATATAAACCATGTCTTAGATATATAAACAATGTCTGAAATATATAAACCATGTCTTAAATATATATATAAACCATGTCTTAGATATATAAACAATGTCTGAAATATATAAACCATGTCTTAAATATACAAACCATGTATGAAATATATAAACCATGTCTTAAAATATAATCCATGTCTAAAATATATAAACCATGATTAAAATATATTAACCATGTCTGAACTATATAAACCATGTCTGAAAAATATAAACCATGTCTTAGATATATATAAACCATGTCTTAGATATATAAACAATGTCTGAAATATATAAACCATGTCTTAAATATATATATAAACCATGTCTTAGATATATAAACAATGTCTGAAATATATAAACCATGACTGAAATATATAAGCCATGTCTGAAATATATAAAACCATGTCTGAAATATATAAGCCATGTCTGAAATATATAAACTGTGTCTGAAACATATAAACCATGTCTTAAATATATAAATTATGTCTTAAATATATAAATCATGTTTTAAATATATAAACCATGTCTTAAATATATAAATCATGTCTAAAAAAATAACATTGTCTAAAATATATAAACCATGTCTAAATTATATATACCATGTATGAAATATATAAACCATGCCTGAAAAGAACAAACTGTATCTTAAATATATAAATTGCATCTCAAATATTTATATAAAATCGTTACCTCAAATCTAGTGTTCCAGTATTAAGAACTTTGGCCGAGAACAATTCATTGACCAGATTATTTTTACTGTTTTCCATCAAACTTTGCATGTTAGTTGATAAGTTTTCTCTGTTCTTGTCAAGAAATCCTACAGCTGTGTATGTTACCTGTCAAAATAGACACAAAAATTTTATCTGATATATAAATTATCTCATATTCATCCTATATATGATACACTTTACATTTATCTGATATGTAAATTATCTCATAATCATCTTATATATAAATTATTTCATATTAATCTGCTATACGAATTATTTAACATTTATCTGATATATGAATCCCCCCCAAACATCTGATATACGAATTATTTCCCCAATTCATCTGATATATAAATTATTTCCCCAATTCATCTAATATATGAATTATTTCACATTTATCATATATATGTCCCCCCCCCATTCATCTGATACATGTATTATTTCCCTAATGCAGGTGATATATGAATTAATTCACCAATTCATCAGATATATAAAGTATTTCACCAATTCATCTGATATATGAATTATTTTAGATTCATCTCATATATCAATTATCACATAGTTGACTGATATTCAAAATATATTATCTGATATATAATTATTTCTTTACATTCATCTGATATATAAATCATCCCACATTCATCTAATATATAAATTTACTAAATTCAACTTGTACAATAAATTAAGTATCAAATCTACATAAATGTAACATTCTGTATATCACATATCCAAAGTAAGAACAGTTTACAGTTATAATAGAGTCTTTTTTTCATTGATTCGCCTACAGTGCTTTAACGCTATGTTTCAATACCAAATAAATAATATCATGTCAAATTATTATTACAATATATCATTTTTATTAAAATGGCTCTATTACACTCCTGCACCATGGTTTTTGTGATAAGTTAATTATATCACATTCATCTGATATATTAATTAGTTCACCAATTCATCTGATATATTAATTAGTTCACCAAATCATCTGATATATTAATTATTTCACCAATTCATCTGATATATTAATTAGTTCACCAAGTCATCTGATATATTAATTAGTTCACCAAATCATCTGATATATTAATTATTTCACCAATTCATCTGATATATTAATTAGTTCACCAATTCATCTGATATATTAATTAGTTCACCAAGTCATCTGATATATATGAATTATTTCACCAATTCATCTGATATATGAATTAGTTCACCAAGTCATCTGATATGATATGTATGAATTATTTCACCAATTCATCTGATATATTAATTAGTTCACCAAGTCATCTGATATATTAATTATTTCACCAATTCATCTGATATATTAATTAGTTCACCAAGTCATCTGATATATTAATTAGTTCACCAAGTCATCTGATATATTAATTAGTTCACCAAATCATCTGATATATTAATTAGTTCACCAAATCATCTGATATATTAATTAGTTCACCAAGTCATCTGATATATTAATTAGTTCACCAAGTCATCTGATATATTAATTAGTTCACCAAATCATCTTATATATTAATTAGTTCACCAAGTCATCTGATATATAAATTATCACATACCAAGCCAGCATAATGAACAATTCCAAAGACTGGATCCCTGTGTTTGGACTTCTTGTAGAGGTCTGGTTTTGACATCTGTTTGTTTAACTTGTCTATAAATGACATGTCAGTAGTCCTGGCCAACAAGCACTCTTCCTCTAGGAGGGAAAAAAGTCCCATAGGTTTCTACAAAAAAGAAGGGTAAATCTGTGTCAAATGAAATAGGAAAGTTTTTTTTAAAACTTGATTAGCAAATAAACTTATTGTTGAAACTTATCATTGAAGCTTTCACTCATTGACCCACCTATAGTTTAACACTAAATTATTTAGCATGCTTTTATGCTATGTTTGTGCAATGCAAATGACATAACATCAAAACATATACACAGCCGTGCCATACAATTTTCACAAAAGTCGCAAAAGTTGGCCGGTTATGTGAAAAACCATGTTTTAACAACTAACCTGGAACAGTAAATTCAGCAGTTCATCATTATTTGAGAACTTTATTTTTGGTTGTTTGATTCCTTCGGCTTGATATTCTCTCAGCTCCAATGAGAAAATATGCTCGTTAAAGTAATGTTGTAGCCTCTCATTGGCTGAATTAATACACAGCTGCTCGAAACTGTTCACCTGGAAATGTTCGAACCCTGCCATGTCCAAGATGCCTATAACATACCTCTCACCTTCCCTGAAATATATTTATATTTTCTCTTCTGTATTTGAAATAATATCATTTATCATAGAAATGGCACATGAATAATACTTTATCAATTAAGTGGCATTAACCCTTTAAGTTGTGCAATGGTTAAGCCCTGCTAAGAATCAAACTCTTTCGCCCTTTTCTTGAACACTTACATAATTTGCATATAGCAAAGTATATCGAGTTATACCGAGACATGTTTAATTGTAGCAAGAACAGTTTACATAGCATGTTTCCAGACCATTCTATTTGAAAGACCCTGTTTGAATATAGAGTATTCCATTTAAAAATTAAGGGACTTCCATATTAAAATACAAAGCAGTATAGAGCCTGGTGTTACTGCATAAATGTAGCTGGCTCTTTAAAGGCTGATTTAGCATAGACAATTTTTCCCTCAGTCTTGAATGCTAGTTTATATAACAATTAACAATACACTTTTAAGTGCCTTTAAATCAAACTGCACCAGCAGCTACTGAGTTTTGGATTAACAAAACTATCATCCAAAAATAGCCTTAATCATGATTTTTCTTCAAAATTACAAATATTGCTATGACAAGCAGCGAAACTCCTTTTTCCAATTTCTCTTAACAAATCAAAGAAAAACTATACATCAGAATTTTCACCTAAACTATTTACCTTTGTTCATCTTCATGAAGCATAAAGTTAATCTGCTGAACAATCCAGGAGAATAGTCTACTGTACAAAGCCTTAGCCATCGCATCCCGTCCATCTACCGCTTGGTTTAAACTCTTTATGTAAACTATACGCTCACCTACAATAACATTAAAATTTGGACATATAAGATAAAAATATTTGTTTCAAATATCTATTGTAACATTTAAAGAAATTTGTCTTGCTGTTACTTTTATCTTCTTTAAATTGCTTGTGGCAACTGAATCTACCTATTTGACCTGTTCAAACAAAGAACCACCAGCACATTTGTGCCTAGTCAATCAGTCTGTTCCAACCAACATGGATGTCTGGATCTGTATATATGACTCAAGTTTATTATTATAATTACTGAGATTCAAACAGTTTAATATAATATTTCCACTTACCTCTAACCCAATTAATATTTGCCATGAGAACTGTGATTAAATCTTCTGCTTGTACAGACAGTAAGGTTGCAGCTGTAAATATGAATACATAACTGAATAATTCAAGGATACTGTCATAACTGAATAACTCAACTTAATTGCTGAAAAAAAATTACATGTACAACTAAAATTTAGTATAATTAAATGTGATGCAAGAATCTCCTTTCATTCCTACAGTATACATGTTTACTATTTATCTTTATTATAGAATTAAAAATTACAACTATTTTAGACCATTGATAAAGTTGCCATTATTATAATAATAATAATAATAATAATAATAATAATAATAATAATAATAATAATAATAATAATAAAGACTTTATTTAAAGAGGCAACATAGTTGGGCATGCCCAGTCTTCCCTATGAGCCTCTATCAAATATACAATGTACATAATATAAACATTTACAAACAAAAGGTATGATAAACAACAACATAATTACAAATACAATATAGTTAAGAAACATGTAAAATGAAAATCTAGGGAAAAAACATTATATAAGAATAAATATATCCAAAAATAAATGGTTTTTGTAGATTGTTCTTGATTTCAAGCCAGATAGCTTCAATATCATCATTTTGTAGATCAAGCCTAGAAACACATGAAAAATTTTCATTTACATATAAAATAGGCCACCACCATGTGTTTTCCTATCCAAACGAAACATTTGATAACCTTTAAACTGAAATTCATTGTCTGAAAAGTTGTTGTTCAAAAATGTCTCACAAAGTCCTATAATATCCAGATAAGAATAAGTGTCCATCAAAATTTTTAATTCATCAAGTTTGGGATAGAGGTAACATACTTATTCCACTTTTGAAGATACTAATTTACACTTGGCTAAAATAAATCTACAGTATATGTGGTAAATTGCTTGCTCAACTAAATCAGAAATGTCCAGGTTATAGCTTGAACCTAAAACCTCTTGATTTTGTAGCATTTGTCCTGAATTTCATCCTTTTCTTTCTTTTTTTATGAAAGGGAATTTTGTTATAATCCTGTACATATACATTTATTTACCGAAATCAATTTCCTCCTCATTCATCACCATCACTTGTTCTGATTCAGGTTCGACTGCCATCTCGATATTACACAGGTGTAATATAGCACCCAGTAATGCAAACACTACATCCATATCCTACAATAATATATATATCAACAAATAAATTATTAATTTAACAGATAAATCAGTCTTGTGTAACATGTATGACACACAAACCCTGTCGGTGAAAAGCTAGCTCACAACTGAGAGTGGTTTATGTGCTGTACATGTTAAATTTGGTGGCTAGTGTGGGGGATGTAGACAACTGCCTGACTGGAGTTGCTGTACCCAATGATTTCCCAGGTCAAGTCTCCGCACGGGACTTCTCAGAGGGGAACGTAATGTAATAACGTTAGTAGAAAGTCATAATACCTATAATGAGCATAAACAATATGCAAAAACTAAAGGTGATGAATTAACATATAGGAAAGTATCCAATATATAAGGGCATAAACCATAATATGCAAAAACTAAAGGTGATGAAATAACATATAGGAAAGTATCCAATATATAAGGGCATAAACCACTCTCGGTGATGAGCTAGCTTTTCACCGACAGGGTTTGAGTGCCGTACATGTTACACTTGTATTAGGTACATTTTAACATTCATACAGCAACATTTTCATACTGTTATATGCTGGTAGGAATTTTTGGTTCTATACAATCCAAACTGCTAAAGATCTAAACTAGAATCTGTAGACTCAGCTATAGTATAAGACAAAATACTTTCAATCAAGCTTCAGTTTAAATAATGGTCAGTCGACAAAACACCATAAGAAATACTGGGCAACCAAATCATAATGTAGAACAAACGCATTATACATAACAAGAGAAAGTGTTAAAACATACCTTCTTGCATATCAGACTGGTGTTTCCGTTAGTTTAACCATGCCGGAAATTTAATCCTGGCAAGAAGGGGGGGGGGGGGGGGTTTAGCCTTAGCCTCAGCCTCTCCTGAGGCATCTACAAGGCAGTGGAGCTATTTACCCATAGCTGGGGGCCTGTTCATGGGCGTCAGGGCATGCCCAGACGACGGTGGGCCTAGCATGCACGCACATCTAGGGCCGACCACCTCCGAATCCCCTGTAATTCAGCCTGAGAATGTTAGGTACTCACTTGAAGAGAGAAAGGCACTACAAAGGGCTTGTCTGTAGAGAGGCTTTGTACTAGCAGGGAAGACTTACACAATCTGCTTCCATTTCACATTGGGCTAGCCAACAGCAGATGTTGAAAGCGGAAGGTGAAACAAGAGCTGTCGGTAGGACAGCAACGCTCGACTATTCTTAGTGCTTGATAGTAAAAACAAGAGCTGTCGGTAGGACAGCAACGCTCGACTATTCTTAGTGCTTGATAGTAAAAAAAATGCTTGATACAGTTACCTCCTCCTGTTTACAGGTTGGGGTCATGATGGTGAACAAGTGTGCAAAGTTTCAAAGCCATATGTCAATGGACTTTGAAAATATTTGAACTATTACAAAAACTTTAACGTAAATTCTAAGTCGAAAAAGGGGCATAATTCTGTCAAAATGCTTGATAGAGTTACCTCCTACTGTTTACAGATTGGGGTCATGATGTTGAACAAGTGTGCAAAGTTTCAAAGCCATATGTCAATGGACTTTGAAAATATTTGAACTATACAAAAACTTTAACGTAAATTCTAAGTCGAAAAAGGGGCATAATTCTGTCAAAATGCTTGATAAAGTTTACCTCTCCTGTTTACAGGTTGGGTCATGACGTTGAACAAGTGTGCAAAGTTTCAAAGCCATATGTCAATGGACTTTGAAAAATATTTGAACTATTACAAAAAAGTTTAACGTAAATTCTACGTCGAAAAAGGGGCATAATTCTGTCAAAATGCTTGATAGAGTTACCTCCTCCTGTTACAGGTTGGGTCATGATGGTCAACAAGTGTGCAAAGTTTCAAAGCCATATGTCAATGGACTTTGAAAATATTTGAACTATTACAAAAACTTTAACGTAAATTCTAAGTCGAAAAAGGGCATAATTCTGTCAAAATGCTTGATAGAGTTACCTCCTCCTGTCTACAGGTTGGGGTCATGATGGTGAACAAGTGTGCAAAGTTTCAAAGCCATATGTCTATGGACTTTGAAAATATTTGAACTATTACAAAAACTTTAACATAAGTGGTTACGCCGACGCCGACGCTCGGGTGACTGCAATAGCTCTACTTATTCTTATCGAATAGTCGAGCTAATAAGCACACAACACACACAGCACACTATACTTGACGCATCTACAAACCAATTGACACATGTTTTACAAAATAAAAACACAAAATAGTGTTTACTTACTTGACTAGTAAAGCCAACAATGGGCATGATCCTCCTCATATTGTCCATTCCTTCACGGTACCCGTCATAATCTATCTCACTGGCTATAACTGGGGCACCATGACCCGGATCTATGATCCTATTATATAACAATTATAACAATATTACTTCAGTGTACATGTGAATGTCAATTTATAAAGTTGGCTATAGCAACATATTTTGGCACATTCCGTCTGCACAAAACCCTTTGAATTTTGACATCCTTGTGCAAGGCTGATTTTTCTACAGTTTTTAGGCTTTTTCTTTTTGAAGCAGGGGGTGGGGGTTGGAGAAGGAGCTTTGAAGCATATCTAGCAAGACTGTTTATTAATATTATATATTATTAATATTTATTTACATTTTTATAAGATTTATTCAGCTATACATATAATTTTCTCTTTTTAAATGTGCAGCACTTTACATCTGTTAGTTTGCATATTAATTTTCACTAGCAGTACAACAAATAATGTGGTAAAGAAAGTAAACAGTTCTGTAAAATTGTTCCACAAAGCCTTGCACTGGGTTAAAACTTCTGACTTAAGTACAGTCCGACCTAGTTATCTCTCTCCTGTACTAATCCATCAAGTTTTTCACTTCTTTCAGTTTAACCTTGCTGAGGTCCATCTGTATTTAAGTATACATGTATATAATGTTAATAAACCACATTTTAAGATAATGTACAATATACAATAGTAATATACCTGTATTTTTCTGGTTTATCAAGAAAGTATCGTTGCCTTTCTTCTGGAGTGAATCCACACATGAGGTTATAGAAGATGTGGAAGTTTTTCTCACCTTGACCTTGCCGTACAACCCGACTTTTCTCCAGCATATGCTCTGTTATAGTGGCTGTAATTATATCACATATAAAGATTTTCGTAATTTTCATGCTGTTTTTAATGTGTTAATTACTTTCTTTGTTCACTTGACAATTTTTCACTTCGTAATACATCCTAAAAATTTACATGATTGAAAAATTACCATGAATTAGGAGGCATGCTGCATTAAAAAGAGAATAGTCCTGAAAATTGTTCACACACGTAAGTATGGGAACTACAATAATGAACTTACCACCCAGCAGACTCCCGTCCTCTGAGAAGATAAGTTCTATGAGTTTACCAAATCTACTAGAGTTGTTGTTCATCACAGTACAGGCATTACCAAAGGCTTCTAGAAGTGGATTCACCTGTAATTAAACAAATATTCCACAGATCAAGCTAAAGTACAGCTGCACTCTTCAAATACCAAAATCTTTCAAGAGGGTGGGGTAGTAAGCAAGTCTACAAGATAGATTAAGCCATGCCTTTAATATCAAATATTGTTATTGTTACTGCATATATGTTTACTTGATGTTTAGGAGTTTGTGACTGTATATTTGCTGTTTAGTTTGTGTGCTAGTAAGCCATCCAAATAGAAAATATAAATGTTACAGGCGACATGCAGTGTTAATGCTTGAATGTAAAGAGTAACCACTTATAACCAAAATTCTAAGTTAAAAAGGGGCACAGTTCCAATAAGGTAATTTTCAAAATTATGAACCATTGTTTAACAACTGCACCTTTAAATTGATCTACATTTTGCTTCAAAGCTGAGTTCAAACAGTCATTTACAGATCTGTCAACTTATTGACTAAACGGGATGTTATTAAAATATACAGCATATGAAAATACCTCGATTATTCGCTCTTGCAAAAAGTAGTCCCCACTCCATTGAGATAACCTGGCTATCTGAGCCACCAACATCTTAGTAATCTCTGTTTTACCTGTAACAAAATGGGAACCAGTTTGGGAACAATAAACAGTTTTAAAACGTGTATTTAACAGAACAGAACAGAACCAATTATAATATACAATATGGCTTGAACATAACAGTTTCTCGTCATTACACAAATATACATCATACATTAAATACAGCGAGAGTGAAAATACAAACATACAAATTTAACGTTTGGTATTATAAGTTATTACATTATTCGTATTTTCCTTTCTGATACTAAAAGATTTATTACAAAAAAAAACAAAGTTACTTTTCAAAAACTCAGAATTTGTAAGAATTACAAAAAATTACAACATGTACACATAAATAAAGTAAATGTATTGTACAACGTACTTGACACCCCCAACAATGTTTTTTTTAATATTTTTATCTATTAACAAAAACAAAAAAAAATAATAAAAATAAATAAATTATTTTCTTTTACCTGCCCCTGATTCTCCACTAACCAGTACACACTGGTTCCCCTGCTGTCTCTGTACATTATGATAGGCACGAGATCCCAGTGCATATACATGGGGTAACAGCTCACTTAATGTTTTCGCTTTCCCATACCTGTGTCCTAACTGAGAATATAATAACATAAACAATAAATAAAACATACAATAGGGCATTAATGATTAAAATATATCTTAGGATGTCAATAGCTCAATTATTACATTAACAAATTAAGAAATTGTCTATATAGGACTTGGATGCCTCCACATTCCACTACTGTCGATCTAAGGACAGAGTGACAGCATGATGGACTGACATTAGAGCCTATAGCTATATCTCTCCCCCCCCAAACTGAGGCATAAAAATTCATGTACTACCTGCACATTATTTTTAGCACATTAGACGGCACCTGTAGGTTAACTACATTATATGAAAGATTCTCCTGATGGCAAGATTCATAAGAAGTATTAAATTTGGTATAACATGTATATGAAAAAATATAATTTGACAAGTAAAAGAAACACAACAAAGACTGTCCAAAAGACAGCTCACTTAACTATTTAGTAAGAAAAGGGGCATAACTCTGTGTAGAATGGTAACTCACAAGTTATGGGATCTGTATCCACCATGTTAGATAATCAAAGAGAACAAGTTATTATGTGAAGTTTCAACACATTCCCTTGAGTAATTTTGAGATACCAACATGCACCCAAAATTTAATCAACGTGACGACAATGCCAGGGTGAGTACAATAGCTCTCCCTATTCTTTGAGAAGTCATGCTAAAATTTGATGCCTCATTTAAAACTTCTTTCAGGGCATTTAGCTTGATGGTCCAGGGGTAACAATGTTTCAAAATAACAGATCATCATCAGCCTAATCCCATGCTATTACTACAAAAAAATGTCCAATAGCCTGTTCATGGGGTACAGTATTGGTAGTAAACCATCAGTCTGATAGTGTTTATTACCCTTAATTTATATATTTAACTATACTGAAATAACACCTTTCAACATAACCCACATTTTGATAGGTTTTGCACTAACTTCACTGAATTACATTAACTTTATATAGAACAACTATTTTTCCACAGTTGTCTTACAAAACAACCAATCTTTCTGCTATTTTAAATCTGGAAATGAAACCAACTTTTTAATTACCGTGGACCACCAATAAACCCCATTGACATGTTTAGGTGAACTGTGAAATATTCTAAAAAACTGTAATTACTGTTTTAAAATTATTATAGGCCCAAAGAAACGCTCTTTATTTGTAGTCAAAATTTTGCTGGATGTATATTCATTATATGGTCAGTATGTAAAGTCAGGGGCGTCAGTGTTAAAAGGTATTTGACTTCTAACCACTTGCCACTCACTGCTGTAGGTCTGAATCCTGCCACAGACATTGGATTCTCACTTTCATGGTGTTAGTAAGAGAAAGCTTATCCAGCTTTGGCGGCTTAAACAGAAAAGTCAGAGGTTTCCCTATTTAAAGTGCCTGATCCTTACCTCTGAAATAATGCCGGGGAAAGGGCACCTGGAGTCTTCCCCTTTACCATTAAAGCTGGAAAAATGCTATGTGACATAGTGTGACATAAAACTAAAAACTACAGCACAATAAACAATTGTTAAATTAGTTTAAACATATTTGTTTTAGCTCGCATTGCAAAACAAGTTCTTGCAACTTTATATTATTCATTTTCGAGTCGGCTCCCTGGAACTTATTGTCAAAATGATGTATAAATGTACTTTAACTCAAAATTATAACCAGGAAAAAGAACACCTGACACATACACAAATCAACAATTAGGTAATCAATGATGAAATAAAATACCAAACATACCTCCTCCCCATAGAGACCTTGTAATGTTTTATACGGATTGATTGACACCAAGATATCTCCTATATATGTCTGAAAATACAAACAATGAAATATACATGAAACATAGCATAAAAGTTAGGTGGGTATAATTCTATGATAATATGAGGTTATTATACATTGTTGAGTACAATACTGAATTCTATAGACTAATATTTGCAGAGTATGCAGCTGACTAAAACCTATATTGGACAAGATGCTAGCCAAGTCTGATAGCCAAGCCTGATATATGATTGGTAGCTGTGCTCGAGTATATAAAATATTTAAACAATTGTATTTGTCTCTGATAAAGTAAATTAAAGCTATCTATTTCATGAATACAAAATATTTCCAAGTGGATAAATTAATATACATAAGTATGTATGTATATTTCTGCAGTATCATTTCCTGACTTAAATTACTGGTAAGTGTAAAGTGATACACCAGTTAAGACTTAAAACTAGAAGAGGATGAAATTTTACAAGTTTATTCTTCAAGTAGAAGAAGCTGATATGGGAAACGCACTATCCATAGCTACTTCCTGTAAGGTTAGACTACCAAATTTTTCAGTGCATTAATGTATCATAATGTCAACTAATTTTGTCAACTCGGGTGCCTGCTCATTCTTGAAATAATGCATGGTAGGACCTCCTTTTATAGTATAGGTGCAACTTAAAACCCAACTAAGAATTAATAGTGGAATGTCCCAGTTTCAAAGTTGGACGAGTCCATTATACAAAGGGTTGATATGAAATGCTTTGATTAAAGATAACTTTAAAAGCAAAATTAATTGACTTACATGTATGCAGTTTATATAGGACATGAGAAAATTTGAATCAATAACTGTAAATTTCTCTACTAAGAAACTATCAAGCCCTATCAGGGATGGTATCTAGATTAATTAAGTAGTAAACGGGGAAGAATGCCAAATGATATCTCCAAAAACTTCCTGGTTTGCCACTGATGGGTCTGTGGGTCAGACTTAAAAACACTCCAAAATAAATCTAAATAAATAATTGATTATACAAAATTGATAGAAAACTAAGCATTAAAACATGCATTGATTTTTCAAAGTGCACTGCAAGATAGATTTGTTGGTTTAAAAGAGAGAACGTCAGTGGTCCAATTATACTATAAGACCTCAAAGTAATTTAGCATACAGGTACATGTATATATTACTTGTCTTGTATGACCACAGGACAGCAAATATTCTTCTTGTCTAGTTAAACCTCAAGGCAGATGTAATTCCAGTGGTCAAGTAAGACCTAAAGAGCCAGGGTAGCATACATCCTGGTGGTCTAGTAAGACCATAAAGTAGCATCATTTAATATGCTGGAGGTCTAGTCAAACCAAAGGAAGCTTATATTCTGGTGGTCTAGCAAAACCAAATGACAGCATACAAGTATATTCTGGGTGTCTTGTTAAAGCACAGGACAGCATACAAGTGTATTCTGGGGATGTTGTGAAAGCACAGGACAGCATACAAGTAAACTCTGCTGTCTGGGGGTCTTGTGAAACCGCAGGACAGCATATATTCTATTGGTTAAGTCAGAATAGCCTATAAAAGAATTTTCACAAGAATTGGGTTTAATTTACACAGTTTCAAGGTCTACTCTATATAAGTATAAATTAGGATGTACATGTAAAACAAATATAAAACCAACAGCAAACACAACCCAGGTAAAACAAGCAATTATCATAGTATTGCAAGCAATCCATAAGTCCCCTACCGGTTAGAACCCCATCAACATTCTGAAGGGCCAATGGCCATTCACTAATGTTTCAATTTTCTATATTTTAAGTAAATTTGTTGGAAAAGTTCTTTAAAAGTGATCACAGGAAACAATTTTTATGAACAGACAGACAGACGGACTGAAGGACACTCTAAAGTTAATATTTGAAACAATTCCCTTTTACCAAAATATAACATTTTTAAAAGCAAAATGCTTAAAGAGGAGATAACTCTTGAATTAAAGATGCAATTTCATAAAAAAATTTCAGATCTTTTTGGCTTATCACAAACAATGTTATATTTGCCATGTTTTAAGCCTATTTGTTGCCAAGGCAACCAATATTTTTTCAAAATAGGGAGAACAGATAAGACATGCATAATCTCAAGACTGCAATCTACCCATATATCAAGTTTCATAAAAATATTTCCAGTACTTTTTGAGTTATCAAATGATCACAGGAAACAGTTTTTATGAACAGACAGACAGACGGACTAAAGGACACTCTAAAGTTAATATTTGAAACATCCCTGTTACCAAAATATAACATTTTTAAAAGCAAAATGCTTAAAGAGGAGATAACTCTTGAATTAAAGATGCAATTTCATAAAAAAAATTCAGCTCTTTTTGACTTATCACAAACAATGTTATATTTGCCATGTTTTAAGCCTATTTGATGCCAAGGCAACCAATATTTTTTCAAAATAGGGAGAACAGATAAGACATGCATAATCTCAAGACTGCCATCTACCCATATATCAAGTTTCATAAAAATATTTCCAGTACTTTTTGAGTTATCACTGGATTCAGTGTAAATGTGTAAAATTTGCCATATTTTCAGTCTATGTTTTGCCATAGCAACCAGAATTTTCAGCATAGGAAGAAAAGAAAATAACGTGCATAATCTCCAGACTGCCATCTACCTATATTACAAGTTTCATAAAAATATTTCTATTACTTTTTGCGTTAACACAGGATCCAGTTTATGTGTAAAATTTGGCATATTTTCAGTCTATTTGTTGCCATAGCAACCAGAATTTTCAACATAGGAAGAAAAGAAAAAGACGTGCATAATCTCCAGACTGCCATCTACCCATATTTCAAGTTTCATAAAAATATTTCCAGTACTTTTTGTGTTATCACTGGATCCAGTTTATGTGTAAAATTTGCCATATTTTAAGCCTATTTGTTGCCATAGCAACCAGAATTTTCAACATAGGAAGAAAAGAAAATGACGTGCATAATCTCCATACTGCCATCTATCAAGTTTCATAAAAATATTTTCAGTACTTTTCAAGTTATCGCGGGATCCAGTTTTGTGGACGGACGGACTGACGTACAGACAGACGGACGGACAGACAGACGGACAGACAGACGGACGGAGGGTAAACCTACAGTCCCCTCCGGTAAACCGGAAGGGGACTAAAAACTGGAAACAAAAAAAATAAAAACTTTGTATATAAACTCACATAAATAAAATCCCTCCGGTATCTATGATGTAATTCCTCCAGTAATATAGTATCATCAAGATCTGGAAGGCTCGCTAAATCATCAGTACTTTTCTTCGGAGGACCCATCCTTTACAACGCTAAAAATTCACTGCATCTACATCTTGAATAGGACATCTTTTATATTGAAAAGCAACTGAAAATGTATTAAAACAAGATTGCATTTTAGAAAATGCTATGCCACCGCATTAATACAACACTAAATAGAAGTGTAGGAACAAATACTGTTGAAGAACGGGTCTTTTATTAACCTCGTATATTATTGTCTGGATGAGCCGTTACCAATGCAAAACTAACGTATTACTATTAACTGCTAGCATTCCCTTGCAGAAAGATAAGCAGACGACAGCCTAATTTCATGACTACATCAAAGGACAACACAGAAAGACACTTTTGTCAAAATCTAGGTCAGCTGATATCAAAGTTCACTTTACATCTTAATCTGTGCACATGGTTCAAATTTCATAGCTGTACATCAAAGGACAAGAAAGTAGGTCACATAATCAAATCTAGGTCACTTGATATAAAAGTTCAATTTTACAACTAAAACTGTGCACATGGTCAAAATTTCATTGCTGTTCATCAAAGGACAAGAAAGTAGGTCACTGTCCCCTTGGGCAAGGCAAAATTTTAAGCTAAGGGTTTAATTCAAAACAATCTTGATACAGGTCCACCAAAAAACATTTCAAGTCAAATATCTAAGCTGTAAGCTCTCCCATTCAGAAAAACATTTGTTTTATTTTCTGTTTTAATAATGTGTACTTAATGAAAATCACTGCCCCCAGGCAGGGCCAATTTTGACACCAGGGGAAAAATTTGAACAACTTTGGTAGAGGACCTACAGATGATATTATATAGCAAACATCAAAGCTCTATGCCTTGTACCTTTAGACAAAAATAGTTTTTATCTTTTACTATATGTACATAATGAAAATCAATGAACCCGGGGCGGACCCAATTTTGACCCCAGGGCTATAATTTGAACAATCTTAGTAGAGGTTCACTTCCCAAAGTCTCATGCCATAAATTTAACCTCTAGCCTTTGTCAATTCAGTGAAGAAGATTTTTCAAGTTTTTACTTTATACATATATGGAAAACTATCGCCTCTAGGGCAGGGCAATTTTTTCACTCGGGGCATAATTAAAACAACATTAGAAGAGGACCCATAGATGATATTATATACCAAATATCAAAGCTCTAAGCCTTGTACCTTCAGACAAGAAGATTTTTAATTTTTTACTATATGTACATAGTGAAAATCAATGACCCCTGGGGTGGGGCCAATTTTGACACCAGGACTATAATTTGTACAATCTTGCTAGAGGTTCACTATACAATGTTTCATGCAAAATATCTTAACTCTCGCCTTTGTAAATTTAGAGAAGATGATTTTTTAAGTTTTTACTATACACATATAAGGAAATCCTATGGCCCCCGGGGAGGGGCTAATTTTGACACTAAAGGCAAAATTTGAACAACTTTGGTAGAGTACATATAGATGATATCATTTAATAAATATTAAAGCTCTAAGCCTTGTACCTTCAGACAATAAGATTTTTTTCTTTTTACTATATGTATATATTGGAAATCATTGACCCCCATGGCAGGGGCAATTTTGACCCCAGGGCTTTAATTTGAACAATCTTGCTAGAGGTTCACTACACAATGTTTCATGCAAAATATCTAACCTCTAGCATTTGTCAATTGCTAGAAGAAATGTTTTTAAAGTTTTTACTGTAAGTTTTTACAATATACATATAAAGAAAACCAATGACCCCAGGGGCGAGCCGATTTTGACCCCAAGGCTATAATTTGAACAATCTTGCTAGAGGTTCACTACACAATGCCTTATGTAAAATATCTAAGCTCTAGGCTTTTTGGGTATTTTAAGTTTTTTCTTTATGTGCATATAGTGAAATTCAATGACCCCCCGGGCGGAGCCGATTTTGACCCCAGGGCTATAATTTGAACAATCTTGGTCAGGGTCTACAAGACAATGCCTTATGCAAAATATCTAAGCTCTGGGCCTTTTGGGTCTTTACAAGAAGGTATTTTCAGTTTTTACTATATGTACATATAGTGAAAATCAATGACCCCCGGGGCGGGGCCGATTTTGACCCCAGGGCTAAAATTTGAACAATCTTGGTAGAGGTCTACCAGACAATGCCTTATGCAAAATATCTAAGCTCTAGGCCTTCTGGGTCTTTACAAGAAGATTTTTTAAATTTATTCTTATAATTCCTTTTGGTTGCCATGGCAACCAGATTTCTGCATGGAATGAAATTCTTTGAACAACTTTGGAAGCCCTTTACCCAAGGATCAATCATGCCAAGTTTGGTTGTAATTGGACAAGTGGTTTTTCACAAGAAGATTTTTTAAGTTCACTATATAATCTATATAACACACACACACACACACACAAACAAACACACGCACACACACACACACACACACAGGTGAATCGCTATATGCCACCGCATCGCAGATGCTGCGGTGGCATAAAAAATTACAAAATAGGATTATTATTGTTATCGAAGTTGCTCAGGTGTTTTCTTCAATTCAACATTCCATTCTTTTTCCTCGTATTACATGCCTGAAGTAGCAACTATTATTACGGGTAGTGTTTCATCCTTATACAATGTTTAGAATAACGACGAGGAAATGTCCAAATGGTACATTGGTTTGACGTAAATGTATACATGTATACCCACTGTTGTAAAGCTTTATTCAGGAAGATATAAAAATCAAATAACTACCTTCAGCTATATCAAATTACAATAGAACTGCAGACAGTTTTACTGCTTGTTTGTTAAAATAACTACTTTTGACATAAATTCTAAGTTAGAAAGGGGCATAACTTGAAAAATATAACTTACAGAATTATGCCCCTTGTCATACAACTGCCTCTTGTCATGACAACCTAGTATTCTAAGTATAATATAGATACCTTTAAAATAGTTTGAGCAATGGACTCGCTTATTAGTGATCATTATTATTATAGCTCAACATTTTTCTTCGGAACAGACAAGCTAAAAATGTAACAGATATTTCAGCTATTACCTTAAAAGTCATGCCACTTAGCATCTTAATCAAAACCAAACAAAGACATTTTCATTATAACCTATTTCTCCTGCAAGGTTAGTCAAGTTCATAAATTCTTCATGATAATGAAACCATGCTGAAAATTCTGTCACTTCACACTATAATGACCATTAGGTACAGACAATTTCTTACCATTGTTTGCTATATCTTAGGCATAAAATTATTAACCGATATTCAGAGACATTTTGAAATAGATCTGGGTCAACTAGAACTGCCACTATCATGGCGTGAATACCCCCGCATACCACTTTGTCAGAATCAACAGTGGCCATTTAGAGCTAAAGGACAACCTCCCTGCCAAATCTGAGGTTACTAAGCCAGTGCATTGCTAAGTTATGTATTCTACATGCTTCAAATGTGAAAATGTCAATACATTGCGGACAGGACATTCTTTAGCAATTGAGAAGAAAAGCTTTTTTTTGTCAAGGTCCCTGTGACCTTGACCTTTGACCCAGTGACTTCAAAATAGGGGTCACCTTATAGTCATGATCAACATCCATACCAAATATGAAGACTGTGGGTCAAAGGAATCTTAAGTTAATGGGTGGACAAACTTTTGAAGTCAAAGTCCCTATGACCTTGACCTTTGATCCAGTGACCTCAAAATCAAAAGGGGTCATCTACTAATCATGAATCTAAAGTTATTGGGCAGACAAACTTTTTGAAGTCCAAGTCCCAGATGTGTCGGCAGAACCTGGTCTGTGCTTGTCGCATATTATGTAGATTCAACATCCACCAGTAGGCTTAGAAAGTTAAATATAGTACAAAAGTACAAACTAAATAATATCAATATCAAACATTTTTATGCCCACCTAAATAACCACTAAGTAAACTATCAAAATAACGAATAGATAAATAACTATTTACATAATTGATCAGAAGATATGATATTTACCAAAAAGATGAGCAAATATTTTTTCTAGTATTAGATCTTCATGGATCAACAGTGATAACAAATAGATCAGTTAAAAATATAACCTCATATTTGATCTTCAAAAAATAACTGCCACAACAAATAGATCTAAATTTACATATTATACTTAACTTCCCTTACGATTTTCCTTGGAAATTAAAAGATTAGACAGAATAATAGCCTCACTGACAAAGATACATGAACAAAACAGGACCATAAGTAAAAAATCACTTTTTAGGCTCAGTGACCATGACCCAATCAACCTTAAACCTCACCCAGAGGAAGGTACCAGAACTAGCAGTCTCTGTCAAAATGAACTTTCCCTTTTTTCAATCATAATTAAAACCATAATTAACCCTTATCACACCTTCACATCTTAAATGGACTTTCCCATGTTTCAATCAGGACAAAAACCATTTCAAGGGAAAATTTCAAAATATGGACAGACTGACTAGCAACCAGCAGTGCTGAGCTGATCATGATCAGGCATCATGAATATGCTGGCTGATTTTTGTCTGCACTTATTGGATGGGTTGAACCTGTTACTGCCAGCAGGCTAAGAGTTAAGGGTTGATGATGACTGAGAGAACAGGGGGGCTGAACCAACTGGCAGTGGCAATAACTGCTCCATTGAAAAAACATTCTAGGGAGCATTAACTGACAGTGGCAATATGCTCCATTGAAAAACATTTTGGGCAGCATAAAAACATAACTAAGACAAGATATTTGATGAAAAGATCACCTAATCAATAGAATGTTTTAGAAACTGAAAAATAACCCCACAGCAGGTGATAGGTATGAGTCAGGATGGAACATTTTGAAATATCCAATGTATTATGAATATAATCATTATGCACTTACTAATTTTTCTGACCAAAAACCACCCCATTAACAGAAGGAATATCACCTCAAACATAATTATACATGTATATTTACAGCCAAATTAAAAAGCAATTACAGTATGATTATTTATAATTTTGACCTGAAAAAACATTAAAGAGTAAATGAAGTTCTAAACAAACCCTTCTCAAAATTAATTCTTTGTAAAAAATTATGTTACATGTACACAATGTTCTAGTTTTACCCACAAAGAAAGAGTCCTACCTTTGAAATGTTAACCAAATAAAATCCGTTGATTTTTATCTTTTAGATCAGTCACAAAAGAAGAAACAGATGTTTAAATCCTGGCTTTCATAATCCAATATCAATAATCAATGAATCACTATATTTCATAAACCTGGGTCACAATAACGTTACTTTGACAAAAAAATACTGGTAAATCAACACGCACAAAAAAAAAATATTGGTAAATTAATCGCAGCGTACCAGGAAGTGCTCAAGTCAAACAAGACAACAATATCTGTCTTAAAGATGGCCGAGATAAAATTATGACTTTTATCTTATGACTTTTATCTATCAACATACCTGATAACATAATATCTACATTTGTGTACGGTAACACAAGTCAACTAAATATCATCTGCCTGTGTAAATATTGTCACATTTCGATTTTAAAATTAAAAAAAAAAACAACTTTCAAAACATCAATCTGGCAACTGTGTCAGCAAATGATGACAACAATTACTTTTTCTCATGAAATTCATTAATTTAACGCCTATGAACATGCCTTTAAAGAAAAATACCACCAAAAAAAGAAAAAAGTTTAAACACTTTTGAAATCATTTACAGTCGGCCAAGTCAACAAACTTTTTGTTTATCAATATAAAAAACTACCTTTTACACAGCATATTTTAACACTGTACTTTTTCTATATTCCAATTTGATATTGTATTGAATCGTCGAACAAAAATGTAAACAGACTGAAACGGGTATCATTCGTAAATATTATTTTATGGACACGCTTGCCTTAACACTTTGTGACTGGGTATAAATCGTGACCTGAGGAAACCGTAGAAAAATTTAACGCTATATACTTTACAATCTCATAATATTACACATCAAATTACAGATCGTTAAATCATTCATATATAATAATATGGATTTACATTGAAGAGTTCTAATAACGCCTTACCATGCGATCAGGATCAAATTTTTGTCACAACATTTTAAAAGCTTGCTAACGGCAATAGATTCTACCCATAAGACAATCAGTATAATATAGTATTTTGAAATTTTCCCTTAAAATGATGAATGGTTTTGTGAAATTGTCCAGATTGAAAGATGGATGAGTCAATTTTAGATAAGAAGCATGAGTTTAATGGGTTAAAATCCTTAAAATAAAATTAAAGGGTTTTTTTTTTGGTGACATATCAATCTAAAAAATCCTATAAGAAAATTCAGTGACCTAACTGGATACGGTGGTACTTAAATATCACAGGTATAAGTCCTATTGGGTTGTGACTAAGTTTCCTTTTTTCTTTTTTTTTTGATCATATAAATTGAAAATCCTCGAAAAATTCAGTGCCCAACTGGTTATGGTAGTACATAGCGAGGGTTGACCGCAAGACTGGTGTAAGTCCTTTTTTATTTCATATAAGTTACTGCAGTTTCGCAGTAAACCCCTGATCTAAGATATCACACAGGTTTAAACCCTATTTTGTCATAACTATGTTTCTTTGATTAAAAATATACTAGTAAAGTATGTAGTAAGTGATGGAAGTGTCTTCAACTGAAGATTTGTTAACATGTATTAACATTAATTAAGCTCTTCAGCTCTAATCAAAATTAAACAATGATAAAAAAGTATGCATTAAAGCCAGTAATGTTATGCAAAATATACGACATAATTTTTCTGTTAAGCCAAAGAAAATAAACAGTTATACAATGACTAATTCCCCTTTTGTAAATTGCCTGCATACATGTGATAAGCTTATAACTTCCTTAAATCAGGCTAACAACTGATTAACCTCTTGCATAAAGATAAAAAACATAATCTATAACAAGAAGTTTTATTAAACTATTTGATATCAAACCAAGTCTGTCAACAAAAATTTGTCATATTTCGGAACAGCCTTTTAAATTAAACAAAGTTAATCATTGTAGCTCCTTGTCCATGTTTTGTTAACTGATTGACATTTTATTTCTTTCATTAAGTTCATAATTTACTAGTCTTTACGAGTTTTACTAGTCATTATTTGGAGAGTTTATAAAAATTCAAATGTTTATATGGAACAATAAAACTGAAAAGGCTTGTTAATTAATTTTTAAAGCAGCATCAATTAACTACACTGTTATATGCATTTGTACATTTGTAACATATAGCAGTCACCGAATGCCAAAATAACAAAGGGCAATTACTTAAAAATTATGAAAAGGAGAGTTATCATTTTTGTACACTGCACTCTTCCTCAGTTAGATCCGTCCACCTATAAAGTTGATAACTCAAATCCATAAGGCTTTTATACTTCAGACAAAAAATTAATTCTGGAATGACAAAAAAACAAAGGGCAGTAACTTACAAAATTATAAAAGGTAGTTATCTTTTTTATGTGCTGCACTTTTCCTGAATGATATCTATATACCTATGAAGCTTCAAGTTGATAACAAAAATTTATCATAATGAAAAATAACAAGGGCAATAACTCAAAAACTTTGAATGACAAAGTTATCATTCTTGTGTAGTGCCCTCATCCATAATGATATCTATAATATACCCATGAAGCTTCAAGATAATAACTCTTACCTACTCTTAATACTTACCTACACAAATATTAATCAGGAAAAAAAACAAGGGCAATAACTCAAAAACTATGAAAGACAGAGTTATCATTCTTGTTTACTTCACTCCTCCTCAATGCAATCAAATCAATCCACCTATAAAGTCAAGAACCCCAAATATGAGTCATATTTTGGGGTTCTTTATACACCTACACAGTTTCAAGTTTTAGGCATGGGAAGATAAGCTAATTTTCAAATCATTTCCTGACCTTTCCACATTCTATTTCCACCTCTACTTTTAACATTAAGTTTGGAAAAGAATTGTACTGTACATTTGAAATAAATTATGGGGGTTTTAGTCTTTAGCTAGCTATTATTTACAGTTCTTTCATGTACATGTACACAATCTGGTGTCCTCATAAAATAAACCCTGTCCTCATAAAATACACCCCGGTCCTCGTAAAATATTCCCGTATGGTTCAATGACAGGTTTAAAATTTCTTTACAGTGTAGTCTGTAACATTTTTTCAATACATTACAAGGGGCTAATATAAACATACAAAAGCTTTTATTTCAGGACAGCAAATAGACTAAATCATGAAAATCTCTAATTTTAGACTATGATTCACATTGCACTTGGGTGATAAAATAGAATGTGTTATATTTCACGTTTAAATGTAAATAGAAAAATAAATTCAACTCAGAAATACAGTTAACTTTAATCTTGAATGAAATTCAGATCTATTTACGTAAGATTTGCCCAAGGGAAGTAAAACATGTTAAAATATATGGACTGAGATCGAGTCTGATTTGTTTCATTATTATTAGTACATATTTAGTAAATAAACATATTGATTTTAGCTTGATTGCGAGTGATGAAAGCTACATTAATAAGCTTGCTTTAACAAATCTCTAGTTAGCTTAATTCCTAAAACTAATCAGTAATGGTGCCACTTGATGAAATGTTTGGGCGGGATCCAGACTCACTTATATAGGACCTTTTCCAGCTAATTTATTTAATTAAGAAAAATTATAAAACATTTTGAAAAAATTGAAAATTTTTAAAAAGTTTAAAAACTAATTGATGCATGACTTATAAGTTTTATTGTGTGTGTGTGTCATAATGATCAATAACCTTTTATTTCTTCCAAGATACAGGTCAAAACAATTCAAATTTGCTCAGAATTTGAAACAGTTTGATATTTCTTGACTGCAAATGGGATTTTTTTTTTAAAGTGAGAAAAAAACGATGTTATTTGGATTGGGAAAGGGGCTTATATCGTTCCGGGTGATAGGGCACATGGCCACTTTCAATCTGACTAAAGCTCAGATCTACTTATATCTTCCATGCATGTAGATCTGATAACCCCGTACACATTTCCTTTTCCAATTTCCCGAGAAAGCTTTTTTTAGCCATGTAATCAAACTGGTTTTTACAGATAGGCATTAATTAGAAGAAGTATCAAAATACAGTTATCGATGGAAGTTAAACAAAATTTGATTTTTGTTAGAAAAAATGTTAGAACTAATTTTTATCAAATTAACTTGAAATAATAGTGAATTTTTAATGGGCAAGATTGTTTTACCAGTTTACCTGTCGCCTACATGGACAAAGCCATGTTTATTCTCAAAATCAAAAAAAAAATTACTGCAACTCAAAAATTTAAACAAAATATAGAGCGATTTTATTGGCAGACAAACTTTGGCGAGATGTAAGGGTTTTAAAAGTGATGATGTATGTATGTTTATTATTCAAATATTGAAAGATGTAAAGAAAATTAGCAAATACTTTTATGCAGTTACTGTTAATTATGCAAAAATTATCGGCTATCATACACTAACGACATCCTGTTTTCTCATATTACCAGGTATATATAATACCAAAGGGTTAAGAATATTGAACTGGCATAGAGAAGCTTTACATAATAATATTGCTTTAAAGTCATTTTTTGCCTTATACACAGATAAATACCCCTTTAAGACATTATGGACAAAGAAAACATCACAACTGTAGACAGCATAAACTACAATTATTTTTTATTTGTAAAAACCGACATTCAACTTCTGGGATGAGTAAGTTCTCTCTCAAAATTTATAAGGGAATTTGATTGTTTGCTATTTACGGCTGGTCACTATGTAATGACTTTATGCTACATGTACACATCACTTTAATTAAATTATAAGTGCCACCTGCATTATCATAGGAAATATTCAAGGCTAAAAAAAAAAAACTATATTATGATTAAAAGCAAAGTAGATATTAGCAAGTTTTTTTCTGAATTTACTGTGTACTTCTGATATTTTCAAGAATAAAGGCTTTTTTTCATCTTCTTTTGCTGCATTTTTAATATTGAGGCAGAAAAATTAGGACTGCAAAGTTTATACATGTACTTATGCTTTCAGAATTATCAATGCAAGCCACAAGCATCCGTTCCATCAGTTTTTATCATGCCCCCAGAAAGAACAAGAAACCCTGATAATCTCATAAACAGGGATATATGGGGACAGTTACCAATGTAGTTTAAGTTATGCCTACAATCCAAGTTGAAATTTTATTGACAGGAGCTGTTTTCTGATTTTTTTGTTTTATTTGTAAAACAGCAAGACAATTATTGCAAATTCAATCTCTCGTTCTCAGGATCTGGGTCAAAATATCAAGATTTTTTATCCTTTTGCATAATATTATATCACTTACATGAATTACAGTCAACCTCGAGTCCTAAGGTTAATCTTGTCCCAAATTGCTGCCCCAAAATTGGTCAATGAAACCTTTAATATAGCTATATTTGGTTGGTGAATCTGGCACCAAAAATGGTCAATCCGGCCAAAAATATGGTTCATGCTGCCCCAAAAATGGTTAATGTGGCCTTACTTTTTGCTATTTCATTTTAGTTCATTGATTTCTTTTTATATTAGCAGTATAATAATCATATCAAATAAATTTATAAAACACAACAGTTATTAATTGAAATAAAACATCAATGTATGCACAGTCGTAAGAAATTAGGATTTGAATCCACTTAAGGCTGGTCGGACTACCAGATTGAAATAATTACTAGCCCAAAAGACATTTCACTAGCACAATTCATTTGTTCAAAACAGTTGTTTATATTCCCTCTGAAAATACAGTAGCCTGGTCGGGCTTGTTACTGTGAAAAGTTGGTAGACCGAGGTGAAATTGAGTAGTCTGGGGCTATAGGACTACTGCTAATTTCGAACACTGTATGCATATGCATTTCATTTTGGATAAAATAAATATTATAATTATTGGT